ACTATAACCTTGGATCCAGGGGGTGGTGGTGAAGCCTTAGCAGTCACTTGCCACCACCAGGGTAGCCCCTCCCTTGCTGCCAGAGCAGACTTGGAGCTAGGGGAACCCTTAGCAGTCACTTACAGGGGCTGCCACTGCAGCCTCTCCCTTGCTGCCTGCAGAGCTGTAATCTAAGGAAACCTTTAGCAGCTACTTACAGGAGCATTACTGTGGCCCCTCCCTGCTACTAGACAAAACACCCACACAAAACCACAACACCAGCTGATGTAAGTGTGGTCCCTGGACACAGTTTTGGGGTCAGATGCTTAAGTCACCTGTCAGACTATGTTAAAGATTTATAGCCCAGTGCAGCTCAGGAGCTGAGCCTGCCCCGAGCACTCACAGTGTTGTGCTCAGGGGTTGAAGTGAGCGTCCGCAGGCAGAGTAGGAGGAGCAGCAAGGCATGGCAGGGCTCAAGCGCCATGAGTACATTGTTGCAGAGGACTGCTTGTGCTACCTCCTTCCTCTTCTGTGCACCTCTACACTTCTGGGTTGTCCAAATTTTTTATAGCGGTTCCCACATTTCGATGCCATAACACACCGGGAAAATCATGCAAATGCTTTTCTCCCTTCTGGTACAACTGAGGTGTTTTCTAGCCCTTGGGATAGGATTGGGCACCTGCTATAAACCTCTAAACATCAGTGTCTTCACCTGTGTCAGATCACAGCCAAGACAGAGATACCCAGTGAGAGGAGTTGAGGGCACAGGCTGTCCAGAGAGGTGGTGGGTGTCACTTCCAGGGTGATCTGTACCCTTCTCTCAGCTCCACTGGCTGCAACAGCCAGCCACCAACCGGCCCTAATAAGAGGTTACATACCAGGCTCACGTAATTTAGATGCCTAAATTTAACTGAATCCTGCCCTTGATCTGTGCAGTGTAGGTGTCTACAGCTGAGCGAGTCACACTCATTTCCCTTGACAGCCAACAGACAGAAACAGGCATTTTTAGGGTGTGATTCATTTGACCTATTTTTGCGACTACTCTAGGATGAGGTAAAACCCTGTGCTTGACTAACTCTCTGCTGACACCCACTTCTACACCCCTGAATCACAGCCAGAGCAAGCGGCAGAGGCTGCTGGGGGGACGGCTGCCTCCCCAGCCTGGCCAGTGGGCTGCCTGCTGCAGAAGCCCAGCTTGCTTGCGGGAGGAGATGCTCAGCGAGGAGGACATGCACCCCCCAAGTGCTTTTTCAGCAAGAAGCCTGTGTCTCTATGAACACGCCTGTGCTGTCTTCTCCCTCTGGCTCTTCCTAGCCAGCTCATCTCACCGCAATGTGTTAGGAGTGGGCCTGGCGCTTACACCCGCTTGGTGGGAGGACACAGCCTCGTGGCCCCATGGTCTGCAAGCTCCCTGTGCACCCTCCTTTGCAAGCTTCGGCGATGCGCCAGGGAATCGTGCTTCCCCTGTTGGCAGCATGATGGCCACCTCCCTCGGAAACTCCCACTGTTCGGTTTGTAATCCAAAACCCTTTCTCTCTGGTCCTCCAAGAAAACCTGGTGTTCTTTTTATTTGAAATACAGCTCAAGCTTGTGCTCATTTATTTCTGCGCAAGCTTAACATTGCAAAAGCTTTATGAAAGCAGCAGACTGCTGCCTCTCATGCAGCAAACCTGCTTGCACTAAACAGCCGACCAGGCTATGGGCAAACTGACAGATGGACCTGACTTCAAAGAAGGCCTCGATGGCCACCTGTCCTTCACAAACAGATGAGCAGTGACGTGCACAGTGCATGGAGCCATCCTTTTGATCACACCCTGCTGATGGTATTAGCACATCCCATTGCCCTACTCATATTTTGTGCTCTGTAATTACTATTACTGTAATTAACACAGGCTCAGTCACATGTTATCTTCATCTGGCAAGCTCAAGGTACCTTTTAACACTGAGAGTGAAAATGAAATGTCTTTTCTGCACATGCGTATGGCTGTGTTTTGACAGAAACCATGTAAAGTCCTGAGATTAAATGAAGCAAATGCTGAAGTGACATCCTGGGGTGGCTTAGCTTTGCAGTTCCTTGGAGGCACTAACTAGCAAACAAAGGGCAGGGTCACCGTTGCCTTTTATTTCAGAACACGAGATGGAAACACAACAAACCTTCAACTCCATATCTGTGCCTCCTTGGAAGGAGGGAGAGGCTGAGCCAAACTTACCAATAGCTTCACTCCTTACAGAGCCCCAGGATATGCAGCTCTTCTGTGAAGGGCTTTCAGCCTGGGATGGGTTGGGAGAGATAACAGAAGAGACTCTCCCCTGCCCTTACTTCACCCCCTCTGGGAAATTCCTGCCTCAGATACTTTAATTGTGAGCTTTTTCAGCATTACTGTGAGTGAGCATTGGTAAGTTTTGTGGGGATGGAGGCAAGGACATGCCCCACTTCACAGAGTGGGCAATGAGAATGATTTCTGAGAAAAACACATTTAATGTTTCACACAAAAACCATCTCTGTAACTTCAGACAGTGCTAAAGCCAATGGGGATCTACAGAATTTACTCCAGAAGCCTGGCGAATTGAGCAGAGAATAACAACAACATTGCCATGGGACTACAAACCTGCCCCAGGATTGAACAGGGTATTCCAGTCTTTACACAGATTAGGGTTAGTGGGAAGCAGATGGTTTTGGGTTCCATTGTCCAGGACTTTTCTGTGAAAGGATCCTCATCTTGCCAAGTCCTTGAGCAGTTTCCTTTCCTTCTGTTTCCTGCAGGGCAGTGCTAGGCAGCTGATGGTGACAATCCTCGAGCGGGACCTGCTCCTGCCACCCTTATTTACCCCTCTCTGTTAGCTGTCACTCAGAGCCCAAGCTGGGTGGCTCAGCCAGGGCAGGAGGACTGTACTAGTGCCCAGGGCATCACTGCCTGTACAGCTCCGCTAACGTCTTGAGCACATTCCTGCAGAAGGGCAGGGCTGATGCAAATACTGCTTAGCCTGGAGGCTACAGACCCGATACAGAGCAGCTCTGCTGCTTGCCCAAAGCCGACCTCTGTGCAGCGTCTTCCTGCCTTCAAGGAAAAGTGGTGTGCAAAGCTGTTTTTTGAGATTCTGTGAAATGGGCTGTGTTCAGCCCTCAGTGGCTTGAATATCCGACTTGTTCCTGCTCACAGTGTACTCGGGAGCAAGCCAAATTAGCCACCATCACGAGTACACACAGCTCCACCAGCTGCGGTAAATGTGCACCTCTTTTTGCCAGGCATGAGTTTGGCTCTGACATTGCCAGTATAAAATGCAGAAATTAGCTAGTTTCTAACTGTCAGCACCTGGAAAGACAAGCTGAGAGCTGCAAATCAAGCTTTACTCTCTTGTCTCTCTCTCTCCTGGTTGCAAGCAGTTACAGTCCTCCTGGCAGAGGTTTTGTGATTATCTGCCCAAGTGTGTAGGTGAAAGAATGATGTCCGGTTCATTTTTATGTGGTTGCTTGCTGTGTGAGAAGACTCCCGTTGTGAAGATTCCCAGTATGGTACAGTTATGTAGCTCATGGTGTCTGCAAGTGCCTTTGGCTATCCCAATGCTACCCCACACTGGTCCTTAGCTGAGCAGACTAACTTCTAGCAGTGGTAGGCTATAACCCTTTAGACAGCCCTAATTTGAAGGGAGCAAAGCTGTGCCTGTGCATGTTGTAGGTACCTACTGCTGTTTGCCTGTAACTCTATGCTGTAATTATATACTGTAATGTTATATTTAGTTTTCATAAGAAGACACTAATAGCAGTGGAGGTGTACTGAGAAGCTGAGTCTAGACACATACAGTACAGCAAAACCTTATTTAATACAGACAATCCAAGCTCTCAGCTGAATGCAAGATCGTTAACTGCCTCTCAGGCTCTTCAGCACTCAGTAGTAGTAGCGCTTTGCAAAGTCTAATGTATTTAAGCATCACAAAACCCCTCTGGATTTGTATTTTACAAATTGAGATCTGCAAGAAGGGAGACATGAGGCCACAGCTGTCAAAGGCCCACTGGTAAACTTGTGACAGCAAGGCCCAGACTTGCAGAAAGCCATGACAAAGGACAGATGGAGCCCAGCTCTCCTTGGAGACATTCATCTTTCCACAAGTAGCAACCTGCCCTTTCTGCAGTTGCTTTTTCCATTCACTAGAAGCTTTGCAGCTTCTGTGAAAATCGCAGGTGGACAGAGAAGTGTCAGTCCATACGTCCCTGCTCAACCAAGAGGATGTAAACCCCAAACAGATCCAGCGTGCTCCATTGCACAGTGTTCCTCGATGAGGCAATGCTGGGGAATGGGAAGACAGGGTCTCTGGTAATGTTGATATCAATATTGACATTTGAACATGCTGACTCCTTCTCTCTCTGTTCATTTACGTGTCTGTGCAGATTACCTGCGTGTTGTGGACATTCATCTGTTCAAGGAGCCCCATGAAATAAACAAGCAGAAACACCACACAGACAAGTACTACAGCCCCAAGCTGATAGTGCGTCGGGGACAGCCTTTCCAAATCCAGATTGACTTCAACCGACCCTACAATCCAGAGACCGACCAATTCTGGCTGGAGTATTTGATAGGTAAGTGCCTGGCAAAGGCTGTGTCGTATCAGCAATGTAAGGTTGAAGAGTCTCTCATAAACAGGAACACAGAATTACTTAATGGCTGGGTCTTTTCCTGTTATGATTGATAAACCACAAAAACAGGCTTAACCATAGGAAAGGAAGTGCTTTCTAAACAGGGTCTGAATACTTACTTGAGAAAGTCAGAGTAATTGCTTGTGAGAGAAGAAGGAGTGGGTTTTGGGGCTTTCTGTTTAGCAAGAAGCTATACTTTATTGAGCTTTCAACATTATCTCTGGTTAATGTTGTATGGCAATGCTGAAGGGTAGGTGGAATGAGAAATATCTTTTATTAATGTTTAGGAGATGCAGGGAGGAGGAGTCTGTTGTTTGAGGTGTGAGAGATGACTATGTATGAACTGGGATAACAAAATGTTGAGTACACAAGGGGAAGAAATAACGCAGGGTGGAAGAATAGGAGGCCTTGCAACTTTGCAACCTGTGTTTACAGCCAACTTGGTCATAAAAGGTTCAGAGATTGTAGCTTTGGACCAGAGACTCACTCAGGGCCACATCAGAGGCTTTCTTGATTTACTACAAAAAGAGCAAAAAAGTATTTTTCCTCTCACTGTGAGATGTTCATTGGAGACCCAGGTCCTAATGTACCTGTTGGCTTATTGAAGGTATATGAGTAGAGAAGGGCATGATGTCACTAAAGAAGGGGAAAAGCAAGCAACAGAGTGGGGCTTCCTGCTGTGGTCCAAAGATGGCCCCACCAAGCACTGCTCCCTGCATCACAGCTCTGGGAAAGCCCCAACTTCATCCAGAGTAATCTGGGAGTTTCTGTGTTAAGATGTCAGTGTTCCTCGTGTAAACTCTTTAAAGTATGTTTGAATTGATGCTTTAATTTACTTTCCTGAGGAATGCAGTTCCAAAATTTGTAACATTGATTTTTTTTCCAGTGTTGAATTATGATGATGTGGCCATTTATTAGATTTGTTGCCTTTTAAACCTAGATGGGCGTTTATCTCTTAAACATATGTGCAGTAAAAAGCTTACTGTCTGCATATTTTTTTTCATAGGTCTCTTCTTTATAATTTAAATTAGGTTTGGGAGGCATGTTATGACAGTCCAGTGAATGATTGGCTGAACAGCCACGAGTGCCTTTAAAAATTTAATATGCATAAATATCATTAGTTCTTTTGGGATTTAATTAAATTCAAGACTGTTTCCTTAATCTTTATATGTTTAAAACAAACAGCTGTAGCAAGAAGAAGTGGAAAGTGGAACATTTGTTTTTTATTGAATCATGTGCAGTTTGCATTTGTTTTAATATTCTATATTGGAAGAAGAAATTTAACACTTCTTTTGATGTTGCACAGTCCACTTAAGAGAGCATACTCACTTGTTTTCCTGTTGCTCTTTCCTAACACATCTGTCCATTGTTTGTACCTCGAATCTCTAGCCATGGATAAAAATCCCTTCATCCTCAGCCGCAGTAGGAATGAGGCTAAATGCAGCCTGAGCTAGGGGAGACTTTCCAACAAACTCATCTCTGAATGATGACTTTGGAGTCAGCCGTGACTCTGTGGTTGACTTCCCCTCCCTGTTCTTCGCTGTTCCTGTCCTTTCTGTGATATGAGAACAGTAGTGCTGATGTCCCATGTGTGGTGGCTGGCAATTGGCTGAAGGAAAGTGCTGCATATACAGGATAGTATACAATGCTATTGCCCTCCCCTGCTTGTTAAGTGTCTGCTTCTGTGAGCACCACTGCCCTCTTGCTGCAAGGAATTTAACTCACAGAGATTCAACTGGGAGAAGAGATGTTAAAGCTCCTCTTTTAGGAACTGGTTAATACTCAGTGCCCCACAAATGTTTCCCTTTACGCACATGTGGTGGAAACACAGTATGTTTCGTCTCAGGGGCTAGCAACAGAAAACAAACCAAAAATATTCCACAAAGGAGAAGGAAATTATCCAGAGATTATCTGCTTGACTCTTGCTACTTCTCCTTTGAGTGGCAAGTCCGATGTTTAAAGCCCTGAAGGCGAGAAAGAGGAGATTTCTTGTACTTAGGAAAGGGCACCGAGTGCTCAAGGTTTCAGCGCTGTGTTCTCAAACCTTTTGTGATGGGGAGATGTGGCCATTTACATCCAGGTTTTGTCTGTTTGCCTGAAGAGTGGTCATTCACCTCTCATAATGCCAGCTGGATGAAAACCAGAGCCCAGTCCAAAAGCTGTTGCCTGGGCTGTGTCTGTGAGCAGAGGAGGGAGGCAGGCACCTCCAGGTGGCAGCTTAGTCCTGCTGTCTTAAAATGGGACTAACTCCCTTCTGGATTTTTTTTTTTTCTTCCTCCATTGACTCTCCCCCATAGACCAGGCTCTGACTTCTAAGATCACCAAAGTCAGGGAAGGTGGCTCCTTTCCTTCAGTACTGCCAGGCAAAAGCTACACCTGGGGCCTGGCTCAGTCAGCTTGAGCTCAGGGAATCCTTTTGCACTGGAACAAGGGGTGTACCTCCTAGCAAAGTGCTGGATTTGAGAGATTAAAGTGAGGGACCCACAGAAATATTGTCAGGTTGTTGTAAAATGACCTTCCCCAGGAGGTCTCTGTGTGCCTGAGCAGTAGATTTCAAATGGTGTGGCAGAACTGCAGAATAACCTAGGTTGGAGGGACCTCCAGAGGTCTCATGTCCAAGCCCTTGCTCACAGCAGGTCCATCTTGCTCCAGATGCTCAGGGCCTTGCCCTAGGGACAGGCTTTGGGTATCTCCAAGGGTGGGGACTTTATCCCAAGAAATGTAGACCAGGGTGTCCACAAGCTGTAGAATATTTTGGGTGTTTCAAGGTGCTATTCTCATAAGGTACAAGGATACTTTTGGTAGGGACAGCTGGCCTTGGCTCCTAGGGAATTCAGCTGGAACTGAGAAAACTCAACGCCTCTTTTTGCAGAGCTGTGCCTACAGTGAGGGCTGTTTATACAACAGCACAGTATAAAGTTATTCAGAAATGATTAGTTCCTAGCACTGGAAATTTCCCAGCTTTGACATTAATCCATCACAGAATTTTTATCCATTAAAGACTAACTTTACTTCTGAAAAATGCAAAAATTATAATGACTTGATCCTCTGTGTGTGCAGAACTATTCTATTTCCTTTATTCCCTAAAATTTAGTTTTACTTCTCTTTTTTTGCTCCTATTTTTGCTTCTCTTGCATCATTAAAAAGATGATTAATGAAGCAAGTAAAGCAAGTAGAGACTGCTTAATCCTTCTAATTGATAATGAATCAAGGGTACCTGGGACAAATGCTTCTTGCGTCATGTGAAACTAGGTCTGAAACACTCACAGAACAATCTTTAGTAAGAATCTTTTTTAATCCACAGTCCATTTAAAGATAATTCACACAGAGTGTAGAATTCATGGGCTAAATCGTATAAACAAATACATATATATGTAAATATATAAATAATTCACCACAATCTCTTGAAAGTCACTTTTCCTGATAATCTTCTGCGACGGTTTCTTATGACTAAAGTCCCTTTTGCTTTAACAGACTGTTTTCTGTAGAGTCATCATCAGTGAAACTGGCTGAAGTGCTAACATGTGAATTATTATAATTCAGTTTTGCACATAATGCTTTATTAAATTAGGACTGTACTTGCTGCCAAAGTATGGAAAACAATAAATGTGCCAAAAAATCCACATGGAAAAATAGCCACTTATAAAGGGTAATGGGATGTTACTCCAGTTCTCCTGCTGGACTGCAGCCCTGCCTCAGTACCTGTGGTTTGGGAGCTGCTCCATCACCACATATTTCCTTCTTTGCAGACCACTTCCTGGCTTTAATGAGAGGAAAGGTGAGCATCACCCTTTGGGAAATACTCAGTTTATTGGTCTGGGACTGAGATGAAAAAGGCACAAGAGAACTGTAGATGCTGTGCTCACATCCAGTTCCCCACAACGGGAACAATTCCGTTTGCTTGGAGCCCCAGGGACCCCAGAGGAGACAATAACTCCTTCGCCCATCTTGATCTCTCCTGACTGCTGCCTTTGTGGTGATGAGGTTACTTTGTGCTGCTCTTGGCTTTCCACAGTGTGGGGCTCAGTCTGTCTGACCACAGCTCCTGAACCTGGGGCAGCCAGTTTGGAGTGAGTGCTGCAAAGTTTCCACAGTCACTGCTGCACAGGCAGTGATTTCTCTGAAAAGCAGGTGTATGATTAGATGGGCTTATACAGCTTTCAGTCTTGCTTTTCATAGTAGTTTCCTGTACATGGCTGTAAATCTTAGAGTGGTTGATGAGTTTACAGGGTGCATCCTTACTCTGATGATGTATTTCTCCACATCCTCATAAATTGTTGTCTATTTGTATTTTACTTAAATGGCTTCATAAATCCATATATATTGGCCTAGCTCTAAATATTATTATGAACATTTTCTTCATTGGCATACTTCTGGAATTATCATAAATCCCAGTACTTCAGGCTACTATTCACCTTTCCATACGTGTACACGTGTGGACACCCACGCACCCACCAATACGCACTCCTCAGGCTTCTATAAATCATGGCTTTTGGCCCAAGATGAGAGCAGAGACTTACAGCTCCTTCTTCTACAGTGTTCCCAGGCCTGCTCCAGATGAATAGTTATAAACACATGAAAGCAGCTAAGAACATAAAGATGCTAGAGCTGATCCCATATGGCTTATTTAGGTGACACCAAATTCCTATTTATAGTCAGAGGGGCATCTGAGTACAACTAAATAACCAGGGGTCTGATTCAGGACACCCACACTAGAATCAATGGTGCTCTTCATACTGTCCTACAGTGTCCACAGCCTTTCCCTAATTTCACAGTAGTGTTGGGACATGGGTTATTCCAGGAAGGCTGAGGTTTTTTTCCTTTTGTCAGGCAGCAAATTTGTCTTAGTCGGAGGTATTGCTGCCCCTGCTCTCATCTGTCCTCTGCTGCAGCTCTGGGGCAGGGCAGGTGGTAGCTAATGGAGTAGCTAATGGAGATACCTC